TTGGCCCTACAGGTGAACTGTCCATGTACAAAGCTTGATGGGTGGTTCGTGGATTTAATCAGCGCTTTGGAACCGACTACGACGAGACTTTCAGTCCAGTTGTCAAACCTGCCACGGTACGCATTGTTCTCACTCTTGCACTTAGCCGAGGTTGGTCTATCCATCAGCTAGATGTCAAGAACGCTTTCCTGAATGGCACACTCCACGAGACAGTCTACGCTAGCCAGCCCTCTGGTTTTTAGGATCCAGCTCGGCCGAATTATGTTTGCAGGTTGAAGAAGGCCCTATATGGCCTTAAGCAGGCCCCCCGCTCCTGGTACCAGTGATTTGCAGGTTTTTTCTCACTTTGGGGTTCCGCGGCTGCAAAAGCGACACATCTCTCTTTGTCTACTCTCGGGGAACTGACATGGCCTACCTTCTACTCTAAGTGGACGACATTGTTCTCACGGCCTCCTCCACCGCTCTCCTCACATGCCTTACTCAGCAGCTTAAGGGGGAGTTTGCCATGACAGATATGGGGGATCTCAATTTTTTCCTCGGTATTAATGTCCAACGCGCACTGCTGGGGGACTCTTTTTTTACCATACTCAGTTTGCACACGAGATCCTTGAGCGTGCTGACATGCTTCACTGCAAGCCTATCTCCACACCAGTCGACACCAAGGCAAAACTGTCAGCCACGTCCGGAACACCACTTCCGGACCCCATCATCTACAGATCCATTGTTGGCGCTTTACGGTATCTGACATTTACTCGTCCCGATCTCACCTATGCAGTACAGCAGCTCTGCCTTCATCTCCATGCCCCCCGCAGCTCTCATCTCACGGCTATGAAGAGGGTCATGCGCTACATCCACGGCACAGCTACCCATGGCATCACTCCCCACCGTACGAGCACATATTCCTTACAAGCATATTTGGATGCCGATTGGCAGGATGCCCCGACACTCGCCGCTCCACATCTGGGTATTGTGTTTTCCTTGGGGACAATATCATTTATTGGTCCTCCAAGAGATAGGCCACCACCTCTCGCTCCAGTGCTGAGGCAGAGTATCGCGTCGTGGTGAATGCGGTAGCTGAGGCGAGCTGGGTCCGAAATCTTCTCCTTGAGCTTCATCAACCCCTTCGACGTGCTACATTGGTCTTCTGTGACAATATCAGTGTTGTATACCTCTCGTCTAACCTCGTCCAGCATTAGCGCACCAAGCATGTTGAAGTCAATATTCACTTTGTTAGAGACAAAGTTTCCCTTGGTCATGTTCAAATCATGCATGTCCCCTCCTCTTCTCAGTATGCAGATATTTTCACCAAAGGGCTCCCGTCTCTCATATTCTCTGATTTCAGGCACAGTCTCGGCGTTCAACCATCACCAGTCACGTAATTGGGCGCATGTTAAATATAGTATGTATATATTTAATATTAATTATGCAATCCTTGTATACATGGTAGTTTCCTTGTATAGAATTCCTTCCGTAGTTAGGATTCGGCTGTTTTATTTATACGAGGCTTAGTCCTCCGTTATTATGGTAGAAAATAACAATTCTTCACCAACTATGACCGATCTAGGATAAACTAAAATTTAGGTTGCCACAAAAATTAGTGACCTAGCTATGGCAAAGGATTTTCATCCCCAAAAATTACTGGCTCTGCTATAGAGACAGCTATAAATTGGAAGAGTAAGAGTAACCTACCCATCCATATAAATCACCACAATCTGCAACTTGGAACTTGGAACTTTGGGCTGTGGGGAATGTGTGTAACTACGAGTTTGTTTGGAATCTAGAAAAACCTAGATGCGACAAAAACTGTCTTGTACTTAAGTGGTCTTCCTTTGATCTGAGCCTAGAAGTGTGAATCTCATTATGAAAAAAAATAGTTCTGAATTTCATCTGCTTTGGTCAAAAAATATGGAAGAAGGATATACTTCCCCAGACACCTGCTTAATCTTAAATCAGTTGGGGTAAATCTAGAGGGAGAAAAGGCTAAGGATATACTATTATTGTTTTCCCTCTCTATATTAAAACCACTTGTCTCTTTGCATTCCAACCAATGTGCTCATACATCTGGGAGAAAAAGCTAAGGATATACGATTATTGCTTTCCCTCTCTATATTAAAAATTTAAAACCACTTATCTTTTTGCATTCCAACCAAAAATACTTTTAAACACGTGCTCAAACATCTGAAATTGCAAGTCTAAAGCACAAAACTTGAGTTTGTTTAAAATACAACATCAAATGACATACTTCTACTCTTCTAGTCAATGCTCGTTGAATGTGAACATACGTTTATGTGAACATTCAGGGAAATAATCAAAAGGTGAAAAACTAGTTCATTCATATTGACCAGCCAGATTTATAAATCATTGTTGTTAAGTCATCAACTAGTCGTCCTGTCACTTTGGTGGTGGCGACTTGATTGTCACCTAGCGACTTGGGTGGACTAGTCGTGTAAAGCGACTACAAGTCGCGACTAGTCGCTGATGGAAAAACCCTACCCGACCAGACTCGGCTCGATCCAAATTTCATTAAATTTTAAAAATACTCTGTCTCATTCTTTCAGCACATTGCGACAGT